GCTTAACGACTGAGCCACCCAGCCACCCCTGATGTGTATGTTTTAATATTTCATAGGGCTTACTACCCCTAATTACTTTTTAAAATTTTTGTTCAGCTATTCTTATTTTTCCAAATATAAATGGCATATAAATAGCCATTTAATTATAGATTTTGAGCTCAGTTTCTTTTATTCAACATAATACATTTGAGATTCTTCCATACTGTTGCATGCACCAGTAATTTGTTCCTTTTTATTGCTGAGTAGTATTCAATTGTGTGAGTGTGACACATTTTATCTGTTCCCCAGTTGAAGGACACTTAGGTTGTTTCTAATTTTGATAAACTGAAATCTGAGTAAAGCTGCTATAAACATTGCAGGTTTTTATGTAAACATAAATTTTATTTCTCTTGAGTGTATACTTGGAGAGAAGTTTCTGAATCATATGGCAAATGTAAGGTCAATTTTATAAGAGTAAAGTACTTTTTGTTAGGGATATTAGGAAGACGTTGTTTAAGGATACAAACCCACAAGCAGTAGACAAATAAGTCCTGGAGATCTAATGCACGGCATAGTGATTATAGACAACAATACTGTATTATAAACTTCACAGTTGCTAAGAGACTAGATCTTAGTTGTTCCCACCACAAGAATAAATGATAATTATGTGATGTGATAGAGGTGTTAGCTAATGCTATGGTGGTAATCATATTGCTGTATATAAGTGTATCAAGTCAACACATTATATACCTTACACTTATACAATGTTGTATGCCAATTATACCTCAGTAAAAATGAATTTTTAAAAAATAAAATACTTCTTTCTTTTTTTTAAAGATTTTTTATTTTCTTATTTGACAGAGAGAGACACAGCGAGAGAGGGAACACAAGCAGGGGGAGTGGGAGAGGGAGAAGCAGGCTTCCCGCTGAGGAGGGAGCCCAATGTGGGGCTCCATCCCAGGACCCTGGGATCATGACTTGAGCTGAAGGCTGACGCTTAATGACTGAGCCAGTCAGGCACCCCTAAAATACTTTTTTTCTTCAAAAAAAATCCTCTTGGTGTTTTCATTGGGATTACAATAAACTGCTGTTTTTAGGGGGAAATGACATTTTTTTCTTTATTTTTTTTTTAAAGATTTTATTTGACAGAGAGAGACACAGCAAGAGGGAACACAAGCAGGGGAATGGGAGAGGGAGAAGGCCGGCTTCCCGCGGAGCAGGGAGCCCGATGCGGGGCTCAATCCCAGGACTCTGGGATCATGACCTGAGCCAAAGGCAGGCGCTTAATGACTGAGCCACCCAGGCGCCCGGGAAATGACATTTTTATGCTGTTAAAATTCCCATTCAGGGCGCCTGGGTGGCTCAGTTGGTTAAGCGACTGCCTTCGGCTCAGGTCATGATCCTGGAGTCCCGGGATCGAGTCCTGCATCGGGCTCCCTGCTCAGCAGGGAGTCTGCTTCTCCCTCTGACCCTCCTCCCTCTCATGCTCTCTGTCTCTCATTCTCTCTCTCGCAAATAAATAAAATCTTAAAAAAAAAATTCCCATTCAATAGTCTTTTCATTTATTTAAATTCTGTGTATATTTGTCCCTTAGGAGGAATTTAGAGTTTTTTCAATATTCATTAATTCAACAAATATTTAGTGAGAGCCAATTCTGTGCCTTGAAAATTAGTACTGGGTTTGGAGATTTAAATTTGGAAGTTGTAGATATCACTAAGAAAGAAACTTAGCATGTCCCAAGTTCATACACTAAGAAAGTGTATGTAGAAAAGAGATATAAAGTTATTCCTAGTATAAGACAGAAGTAACCAGAAAAGCTGAGAAAGATCCCCCAGTAAGAGAAAAACCAACAGACTATGATATCATGAAAGTCAAAAGAAAGAGGTGGGAGGGAGAGAAAGAGAGAGATCAGTCATGACAAATGGATAATTAACTATTGAAATTATGGCGATTGAATCATTAGTCCACATTAATCCACAGAGAAAGGCTTGGCAGGCCCATCTTCATTTCTTAAATATTTGGTCATTTTGTTCAATGCCACTTAAAAAAAATCCATTCTTTCTCCATGATTCAATAAGCTGTCACTATTATATCTTAAACTATCTTTGAGTCTATTTTTTTTAAAGATTTTACTTACTTGAGAGAGAGAAAGCATGAGAGGAGCAGGGTCAGAGGGAGAAGTAGACTCTCTGCTGAGTGGGAAGCCCAACACAGAGCTCAATCCTGGAACTCCAGGATCATGACCTGAGCCAAATGCAGATACTTAACTAACTGAGCCACCCTGGAGCCCCTCTTTGAGTCTATCTGTGTGTTTTGTATCACAGTGGCCATCTATTTATCTACTAAAACTAGACTATTTATTAGTCATAAATATATACCTATATTATAAGACCTAGTGAGAAAGATCCTGCTCATAGTTCTTATTTTCTAAATTTTCTTGCTTGATTTCAAGAATGTGTTCTTTTGGATAAACTTTAAATCAATCTTCATTGAACATAATTAATTTGGATGGATTTAGGACTAGTTGACATTTCTTTTTATTATTATTATGTTCAATCAGCCAACATACAGCACCTCATTAGTTTTTGATGTAGTGTTCAACGATTCATTCGTTGCGTATAGCACCCAGTGCTCATCACATCACGTGCCCCCTTAAAGCCCATCACCCAGTGACCCCATCCCCCTACCCTCCTCCCTTTCTGCAACCCTCAGTTTGGTTCCCAGAGTCCAGAGTCTCTCATGGTTTGTCTCCCTCTCTGATTTCTTCCCAGTTTTTCATTCCCTTCCCCTGTGGTCCTCCACACTATTCCTTATGTTCCACATATGAGTGAAACCATATGATAAGTGTCTGTCTCTGCTTGACTTATTTCACTTGGCATAATCCCCTCCAGTTCCATTTCTACAGGGTCAATTTATCCTGTATAAAATATGATTTAGCCCTCTATCAATTCAAATTTTATTTTGTATTTATCAATAAAATTTTAGATCTTTAGTATGACCTGAACACTTAATATTAAGTCTAGCAGACTTGGCAGGTATAAAATCCATTTGTAAAATGAGCCAACAGTAAATTAAAATGCTTAAGTTCAACCATTAGGCCAGAAAAGAGCCAGAACTCAAGCCCCTGGCCTCTTGGCATGTCCCAAGTGCAACACCCTCAATATGACCTTACTGTGCTTGCCTGGCCCAGGAAGGTAGAGAGAGGTCACCTGCTGTGCTACTTTTTCTGTGAGCCATACTCACTGGAGCCCAACACTGCTCTAGTCTCTAGGAAATAAAGGTAAAACCTACTCCTAGCCTTGCAGCTTCACAAATAGCCTACTAATAAATACAATTGCCGATCTGATGCTTTTGGAAGTAGGCTCAGAGGGCTCATGACCCTTGCCAGAGGTGACACATCCTGCAAGTAAGATTTAAGAGCCTGAGCTCCCCGCGACAGCAGCATTCCCTCTGGGTTGGTTTCCACTCCCTTTCTCCCTTCCTCCTGAGCCAAGATTGCATGGTGGTCCTGGGTCCGCTGGCAGAACCCAAGAACAGCAGTGGAACTGGGTGTCTCGGCAGAAAGGCCGGCCTCCTCAGAAGACATCCACCTAAGAAGCATAAAAGGGCGGATGCCACTGGGAGACGGAGAGGACTTGTGATAAGCCCACTCAGGTTATCGCTTGAGTCCACCCTCCAATGACCAGGGTGACATGTGAGGGACTAAAGGCTCTGCAACAGTGGCAAATGCGGAGTCAGCAATAGGCTACGTGGACATTTTTATCCACCCAGAGTGGGGAATCCTGGGCTTACATATATGCTATTTAATCCACACACAGAATCCCCATTTTACAGATGAGAGAATAGCCTGAGAAAGAGAAAACCGCTTGCACCTGCTCCTGATTCGGCCTGACTCCAGTCCCCACGCTCTCAGTGACCACATGTGTCTCCCCCCCTCCCCTTCGCCGTGTCCCGGGACCTCCTGCCAGGCCTCGCACACTCTCTGCCAAGCACACAGACATGGGGCATGCAGAGCTAAGCTGCAGTTATTTTATTACAGCCAGCCTGATAGAGACTGAAGGAGGTGAGGACAGGTATGGGGATTCCAGCTTCAGGTGTGAAGAACAGAGCAGGAGGACAGAGCTCAGATCAGGCATCTGGGGCAAAGATTCATCTCCCCAACGAGGTCACGACATTCTTCAATGGGACCACAGCTTCAGAGATGCACTGCTTGCTGGTGGTGATGGTAGCCTGGGAGAGAGTAAGACGAGGAGGGACGGAAGACCTGAGCGCAAGGCAGAGCGATCCATCCCCTCAGGATCACCCCGCTCCTCATCCTCAGGGATTCAGCTCCATCCCCAGCAAGAACCTCTGGCTGGAGAGGGAGCTGCAGTCCATCAGAAGAGGATGAAGATGACTCCCCAGTCGCCCATACACAGGTGTCAGGAGGAAGTCTGAACAACCAGTGAGGGAGGCAAGGAGATCAGAATCTTCTGGGCTGTGGGTCTATGTGATGTCTCCTGCACCTGAGACGCGTCTGTCAGGTGTGTGGGACCTATGGAATGTGGATGCGGATGCGGTCTCATGGCCCTGTGCGCCTATATTAATGCAAGAAATTCTGCTGCTTCATAAACCTCTCATTTTGCAGAACCAGCACTTAGGGGAAGAGAGTGATGAGACAGACTAATCAAAATCTACATAACTGTGCAACAAGAACAATGACGGAAGAAGACAGTTCATCAGGGGATGCACTGACCAGCCCTGGGGAGCAGGTGCATGTAGCTAGAAGCTGCCTCGGGGGCCCCAGGCACCAAAAACAACAGAGTGCAGCTTCTGGCTTTCGGCACTGAGACGAGACAGATGGAAGTGGGACTCAGAGCCAAAGAACAGCCATCAAGGTGGGCAGTAAAACAGGCCGAAAACCAGAAGCCTTACAAGGCCAGGGAGTCCCTTCCTGAGAAGAGAGTCGAAGGGCAGGTGATCGGTTTCGACATTCCTAAAACAGAGCCGAGTGTGCTCCTACACCTGCAGGAGCTGAAGTAAGGACCCTTGCTTTCCTGCCGAAGGTTAAAATTCTACTCCTGCAATGCTGGCTCCCCTAAAAATCGCCTGAGTCACACACTTTCTGTGTCGCACCGATGTCAGTCCCCGATTTTCCAGCTGTATGTAAATTGGCATGAGAGGGACACGTGTGGTAGAAGAAGGGGCTGGATGTGCATGGGGCGTGTGGTTGCATACTCTGTGTGCTGCAGGATGGAGCAAAGTTTATGTGCTTGATTGTTTGTAGCTCATGTCTGTCGAGGAGCCGCTGACGGCGCGGTCTATTTGTATGCGCACTATTCCAATATGCTGCATGTGCGGCATCAGGGTGGGGATGGGGGGAAAGGACAGTCAATTACCATGACAGTCAGATCCAAGGCCTTGGCTTTGAGTCCCTTCTCATTGTAGCAATCCTGGATTTTTTCCATGGCTGCTTTTTCTGGTTCAGTGGCATTGACCAGATCAAGGCTGGCGTCCAGCGTTAACTTCTCTCCAATGGCCACGGCACCAAAGATCACATAAAAAATAGGGCAAGATTTCACTGAAGACACAAACAGAAAACACCTCAACAAAAGAATCACCAGGGTAGGAGGCTCCTGTTTCCCCACCACTTGACAGGACTTCACATACCCGGGGTGTTCTGACTCACCTTCCACAGAGACCTACCCACTCCCAGGACTGCTTACATCCCAGACACAGAGACCATTTTCCAGGAGGCACTCTCAGCAGAAGGGAACAGTGTGAGGTGCCCCAGACTGCGCCTCAACACATACCAGCCTGCCTGCTTCTGACCTTCCGTTAAGCCCCACTACCCCCAACAAACTCTCCCCTACTGTGTGCACAACTAAGGACCCCTCCACCTCCAAACCTCTCCCTCCAGTCCATGCCTGAAAACCTCAGGGGGTTTATGCAGGACCCCTGGGTAATGATCTCCCAGCTGCCCCCTAACTCTGTCCCTAGAAGCTACTTGGAGATCACCATGGGGGGTGAGGGAGTGAGACAGAGCGAGGCAAGGATCAGGAAGGCCATCTGTCCCTCATTCCTACTCTCACCCATCTCGATGCCCAGCTCTTGGGTCACCAGCAAGGCCAGCACAAGCAGTGTCCCCTTCATAGTGCCAACCACCAGAATGTTCTGCTCAGTGCAACGTTTCTGCTGCTTTTTAAACTACCAGCTCCCTGAGTCTCGCCCACACCCCTTTTAGGAGCTCCAAAGGCTTGTGGGCAGGGACCTGGCACATGTGGCTCCTTCAGCCCTTGGGCTGAAAGCCTTCTGGAGAGGATGTGGTTTTCCTTCGCCAAAGACCAACTGGAGCTCACATTTCTAAGTGACTTCACCCTGAGCCAACTGCTCTGTTGTCCCAGCCCCAACTGTGACCGCTGTTTCCTGCTACTCCTTACCCCCAACCTATCCTGGCTCCAAGTGCAGTACTCTCCCAATCACAGGAGGGGTCAAGGACAAGTCTATACCACTACAGGTTGACAAAAGATCATCCAGCCTTTCCTGGGCCTAAGTTTAAGTCCTGGAGATAAGTATGGGGTGCTGGGCCCAACTAGAGCCTCTTGAACACCTTAACTGCTGCAGTCTCTGGATTGAGCCCCCAAGGATGGGTGGACACCATCCTTGGGCCCTGAAGCATGCCCTACCAGGGAAGTCTCAGGACTCCAATAACGCTCCAATGTAGGATCATGTCACCTGCTTCCTTCTCAGCCCTGCAAATTCCTGGGCACCTTCTGGACTCCCAGTGGGTCCAGCCTTGGCCCTGACTCGCCCCCCTCCATCAGTGAACCTGGTCCCAAGAGGAGCTTGGACTTAATAGCCCATCCAGAAACATCAGTGAGTAGCTGAGGAGTTGTACAGTGTGTCGCCCGTGTCCCCTGGGAGCTTGAGCTCTACAGACCAGAGTGCGAGGTCAACCAGAGGAGGCACTCCGTCGCCTTAAAATCCTTCAAGAGTTACACTCAACCTTCTACTCTAGAAAAGTGGTTTATTGGCACAAACAAGATGAGACAGTCCATGAAAATTCTAGAAGGAAGCTCCCAGTGGCCAAATCTGGAACAATTTAAGCAACAAAAGAAATGACATAGTGTTAGATGATAACCCAAAGCATAAAATTGTATCTGTGAGTCCATACTGATGTAAATAAATGATTTAATAAATAAGAAAATGAAGAGAAGAGACAGAAATGCCTCACAGAAGCATTCCAAATAATACACATAGATACTGTCTTCAGGAAGTGGAGCTTATTGCCCTGTCCTCCTGGTGAGTGGGCTAGACTTAGCAACTCAATTCCAAAGAGTCCAGAAAGGGGAAAACCATGCAGAAACTTAGCAAACCCAACATTAATCAAATGATCAGGACTAGGGGCACCTGGGTGGCTCAGATGGTTAAGCGTCTGCCTTCGGCTCAGGTCATGATCCCAGGGTCCTGGGATCGAGTCCCGCATCGGGCTCCCTGCTAGGCGGGGAGCCTGCTTCTCCCTCTACCTCTGCCTCTCTCTCTCTCTCTGACTTTCATGAATAAATAAATAAAACATTTTAAAAAAAATGATCAGGACTAATATAACCAGTGGTAAGACATACTGATGTCACACATGCCATGATGTGATGTGACAATATAGCACTTCTCCTCTTTGTAGTCCCCCCAAAACCCAAGGTCTGAACCCCAGTCTAGATTATGAGAAACACAGCAGACAAAATCAGTTTGGTGAACATTCTATAACACCTGGCCAGTCTTCAAGACCATCAAGGCCATGACAAACAAGGAAAGACTGAGAAATTGTCACAGATCAGAAGAGACTAGGGAGATATGACAATTAATGCCATGTTTAGGATATGGATCGGATTCTAGAACACAAAGAGGACATTAATGTACAAACTGGTGAAATCCAAATAAAGTTTGGAGTTTAGTTAGTAGTAGCATGCCAATGTCAGTTTCTTGGTTTTGACAAATCTTTGCAACTTTTCTGTAAGTCTAGAATTACCCCCAAATAAAAAGGTATTTAAAAAAAAAAAACCACTTGCATTACTAAGGGACTGCATATACTACAAGACCTTGTCCAGAAAGTCCCCCTGACCTCAGCAAATGTCCCCACGTCCAGCGATGTCTCAGATGGTTTTGTGGCGCCCAGTGGGGCTGGACGGACATCAGCATCCTGTGTCACTCTAGCACTCCAAACTCTGGCTTCATCATCTCCCAGAGCTGGGAAGAACCTGAAGGAAGTGCCTAGTGAAGGACAGCAGACATACGATCCTTGCCCAGGTGCCCCCGCCACACTGAAATTCGGTCCCAGGAGAGAAAGAGCAAGCCATGTCCAATCTGGGGCATATGGTGCTCACCTTCCCAGGCTGATAAGTGCCCAAGAACCTCTGAGGGACATCCGCAGTGGCCCGAGCCTGTCATGAGATGACCTCACAGGGATGGCCTCTGGGCATCATGACTGGAGCGGCTCCATGGTAGCCACCTGACAGCTGGAGCTCAGGACTCGGCACCTCTTTGCCAAGAGCAGTTACCGGATGTGAATCCTGTTTGGCGTAAGGCTCTGACTGGGGTCAGAAAACTTTTGTCTTACCTTCAGCAAACTCTGTTCTTTCACAGATGACTCAGAGAAAAGGCCAGGCAGGTACCTCCAGCAAGCAAGCATAAGGGAAAATGTTCTTGGTTATTATCAACTCCGCAGAAATAGGATATTCCTCTCGTTCGTCTAACAAACATCTGTGCAGCCCCTGCTACGTGTCCTTGTCCTGGGGACTCAGCAGTGCACACAGCAGAGCCCCCTCTCTCCCGGAGCTCATTATACAACTGAGAGGAAGTGGGAGACATCAGCGAGTGACAAGATGAAGCTGGGGAGAGCAGCAGGTGCTGTGGGGGAAGGGGCGGGGCTCTAAGGGGTCAAGCACGTGGGAAAGTCTCTCTGATAAGGTGCCCTTTGAAGAGAACTGAGCAATTAGGCCCTGAATCACGTACTTGGAGGAAGAGCATTCCAGGCAGCGGGGGCTGTTTGTGCCAAGGCCCTGCTGCGGGAGTACAATCTGGAACACAAAGCCCCCGACCACTGGCATGGTCAAGAAGCAGAAGGAAGACCAGTGAGGGAGGAGAGAATGGCAGGGAAAAATTCAGAGAAGCAGCAGGTCTTCGGTGACGCACCGGGTGTACAAAGCACACAGGGCTTGTAGGCCATAGAAGCCGCTCGGCTTTTCCTCAGAATGTACCTCTGGAAAGAGAACGGTGCGAACCGTATAGAGAAACTCAGAAGAAGAGGCTGGTCAGGGCAAAATGCTATTTCTGAGTCAGACGAAAGTACTGCCAGACTAACCAGGTGACAGGACCCGGTCAGCACAGAGGGGAGGGTTCAGGACTCCAGAAACAGACCCAACAGACTGGCTCAAGGGAGGCCACTGAGCAGGTCAAGGACAGAGATGAGGATGAAGGCAGGGCAGGAGCCACCAGAGAGTGGCCTTCCTTTGGCACTTACTATCTATGAGACCATTGGCTCAGCACTGGGTTTCCTGAAAAATCCCTCAGTTGGGACCAAACGGTCTTCAAGGTCACAGGTAAGAGGCTGACATTGGCCATCATTCGGGAGGCCTGATTTGGGAGACTTTTTGCCCCTTTTCCCAGTCAACCTAGGAAATTTCCATTGTGAAACTTCTGGTGTCAGCTGCCACTTGGACAGAGCCCTCAGATGGGGAAGGGAGGCCAAGTTAGTGTCCTTTGTTGACTCAGGGACTTAGGATCTTGCCCACACATCCATCTCCTGCCTCCACGGCTCCCAGGCAATTCCAAGCTGCAGCCCAGAGAGGGCCTCCTGGAAAAGGATGTGTCAGGCACAGGCCCCTCCTGCCCACCCCTCCAGCTGGTATAAAAGGGCTCCAGGCCTGGGAGGGAGCAGCTGTGGCCTGCAGCATGAAGCCGGCTGGTGCTCTCGTGCTCCTCTGGGCTGCTTCGCTCCTGCTCTCGGGCCGAGGTGGGCGCCTAGGGCCACGGGTTCTCCGGGGGTTCTGACGCCTTCCTAGGGCAGTTGTGAGCCTGTCAGGAGGAGGAAGGGAGGAGCATGACCTGGCGAAGGTCTTTCGACGGAGTGTCAGCTTATCTTTGTGTTCCAGATTGTAAAATTTGCTCAGCGGTGAGTGATGATGTCACCTTGTTCCTGATGGGCACCACTGAAGAATATGTCCAAGAAGTGGCACAATACCGAAATGAATCTATAATATTGGAAAATGCCAAAAGCCTGAAGGAGTGCATTGATGGGAAAATGACAGCGGACGACAAGACGAATGCTGTCAATGTGCTGGTGGGTCCAGCTCTATGTGTCCCTGTCTCTGGCGCCTGTCTGGGGGTCTGCTCAGGGCGGGACAGGGCAGGGCAGGAGGGGTGGGGGGCACCCATTTTTCTTCTCCACCATAGCCCTTCCCTGGGAATCCGGGATGAGAAAGACCTCATGGATGGGAAGTAGAGAGGATAGTGTGGGAAAGACTGAGCCCAGCCCTTGAGCTTTCCGGCCAGCCCTGGCTGCTCAGTGCTTCCCGGCCACTGGCCTGGGAGTCTGCAGGCCCTCCTGTGTCCTTGGCATCGCCCAGCCTCAGTGTCAGGTCCTCAGCTCTGGCCTCCCTGACTCCAGCCTCTCCAGCATGTGAGCCTGGATCTTTAAACTATTAGCATTGGGTCCTTCCTGTCTCCAAACATGGGCTCCTTTACCTTACCTCCTCAAGTTCCCCATTCCATCCCCCCTCAGACCCTCATTTGTCCTCATTCCCTGGGTCCCAGAGATCCATTCTGTGCCTCACTTGCCAATCTGCCAGGAGAGCAGAGGGGAGGGGAGGGGAGAAAGCAGCTTCCCAAAGCAACCCCCCCCCCCGGTCCTTCCCAGGCCTGAGATGCCCCGTGTGGAAAATCACAGTGAATCCTCTCTCTGCTGTCCCAAGAGTGGGAACAAGCTACTGCTTCAAGCAGCAAGTGTCCAAGGGGCAGGAGGAGGAAGCAGAGCTGGAGACCCCCAGGTGCCCACAGGTGCATCTGGAGCCCCACCAGGACCTTCTCGGCCGCCTCTTTCCATTCTATCCACAAATGCCCCCCATCCCATCACAGTGACCCCTCTTCTTCCCTCTGGTCCCCTGGAGGAAGAGGCGCACCTGGGATTCTCTTGTGGTGCAGGAGATTGGGAGGAATCCACCTTTGCCTGCTCAGATCCAGAAGCCATCCCCCAAACAAACCCGCAGGCTCCTCTCCAGGAAGGGTCCAGTGAGTGTTCAGCAGAGCTTGATGTCTCTCGTACCCCTTGAGGCCTCGCCAGGTTTCCTGACTTTCTCTTTGCAGGATAAAATATACGCAAGTCCTTTGTGTTAAC